GATAAAATAATTCTATCATCTCTTCTTGAATATAATCTTCCAATATATTGTCGATGAATTTAATGAATTAGATGCATTTATTACACATGAAAATATAGAAATTCCACAATTTATTGCAAAATTTTTTGTTAACTGTAATTCAAAAATCACAGCAGAAGAATGGCTCAGTTGAGAAGTCTAAAACTACAACACTAGATGAAATATACGTATAATGGAAATCGTGCAATTTATCGTGATGCTTGACATTGTATTCGTAAAGACAAAACAAGGGCAAAAAATTGAAACAAAGAATTACAAGTTTGAAATATGCAATGATCAGTTAATATTGAACTTTAAATTAATAAAAAACAATTAGCATTATCACATTCACTTGAAGTAAAATTATACTTTATACATAATCATGTACCTGAATCTGCTATTTCACCAAGTTTTCGGCCAGTAGCTCAAACAATAATAAATCGATATTTGGAACTTTTTAATAATGGACATAATCCAGCACCAGCTCGTATGAATATGAAAATGAATTACATATTAATTCAAAAGATGAAACAGAGCTTGCAATAATTTAGCGGATAGAGCAATAAGTCCGGATATGGTGCAAACGATCCAATATATCCAATACTTTAAACTGTAAAGGATTTGCATCCAAACACTTTAACCACAAAAAAAATTACGTTGCTAAATAACCTTTGATGAGAACTATAATATAACGTATTTTTCTTGTAATTCAAGTGTTTGGATGCAAATCCTTTACAGTTTAAAGTATTGGATATATTGGATGTCTTTAGACCGTTTGCACCATATTAATTTTACCAATAATCTTTTTAAAAAGTTTAGAGAAGCTGAATTAGGCAAAAGAAATGGTACTTCAATATTTGTTCGATTACAAGAAGAAATTCAAAGATATAATAATTCAGACATGGGATTGCTTTATTACAAGAATATGAAAATATCAACAAAAAGCCATTTATTTTATGTATTGTAACAAAATTAATAGAACAAGTTCATCAAAACAATCAGGCAAATTATGCTATTTGATACAGTTTTGATCATCTATTAGTCTTTTATATATAAGTTTGCACACAGCTAGAGTATTATCATTAGGATTATTTATTATATCAGATGAATCAGAATTAATATTAGAATGTGCAATTAATATGTTAAAAACAATATTACAATAATTATTACAGATAATTCTGATGCTAAAAGAAATATACTTCAACTTTGTTGGTCTTTTTGTACAAGCTTTTTTTGTATATTTCATGTTTTGCAAGCATTTTAGTGCTGGTTATAGAATAAAAATCATGAAATTAACAAGAAAAATTAATTATTAATTATACAATAAATGAAAAAATTTCTTTATATTCAAAAAAATAATGAAACAAGAATTATAAATTTACAAGCAACTTATTTTGATAAATATTCACAATTGGCAAAACATTTAGATTAACTTTAAAAATAAAGAATATCTTGGACTTTAGCATTTAGAATAAAATTTTTAATATATAATAATTATACAAATAATTATATTGAAAGAAGTTTTGATATTTTAAAAAATATTATATTTGGTTATATTCAAGTATTTATAATATTATTCAAATATTTCAATTAGTTATTAAAAATATAAAATAATTTTATATTTATTGATTACTTGAAATTTCAAATTAATTTTAGACTATTTTTATATTTCTAAATAATTTTTATATTGAATAACAAAATATTAATTATAATAAAATTACAAAAATTAATAATATTATATATTATAATATTTCAAATTAAATATTATTAAATATATATTATTTAATAAAATTAATAATTGGAATTATTTTTGTAAATTAAAATTATTAAAATATCTTGTAAATATCAAATAATAATTAATATCAAATTTTTTGAAAGAATATTTAATTTTTCAAATTTATTAACTTTTAAAAATTATATTTAATATATATATATAATATATAATATGTAAATTTATTATTTAAATATATTAATATTATTATTTATTATAATTTAATACAAAAATATTAATATATTATTTTGTTATTAATAAAAAATTTTAAAATTTTATTTTTTTTATTAAATATAATATTTAGATTAAATTAATATATTTAATAATTTATAGTCATTTTTTATAAATTTTATATAGTAAAAAAATCAAATTTTTAGATTTTAAAGCTTAATTTCTTGATAATTGATTATTTAATTTTGCTAAAATTTAAAATATATATTTATCTTATATATATTAATATACTTGCTTAATATAAATTTATAAAATTATATATTTATTAAAAATGGTTTTTATTAAAAATGGTTTTTTTTAAAAAATTCAAAAAGTTTTATCTTATTTAAAATTTTACTAATAGTATAAAAAAATTATAAACTTTTAATTAATAAATTTTATAATTATAATTAAAAAAGTTTTACTTTTACTTTTTGATATATCAATTTTTTTGCACTGAATTATATATAATTATTATTTAATATATATATAAAAAGTTAATATAAATCAAGTTTTTATGATTAAAATCTACAAATTAAATTTTTCATGTATTTTTATAATCAAATTCTATTAAAAATTTCTTATACAAATTTGAAATAAATATTATAAATTTTTTATTAAAAATAAAATTAAAAATATTTAAATATATTTAAAATTAGTTTTTATTAAGATATTATTATTAATTATATTTTAGTATCAATAATATAAATTCAAAAGAAATAATATAAAAAATTTTTATTTGAGGTTGAAATAGATATAACTTAAAATACTAAATTATTTATAATATTCAAATAAATATTCTTATAACATATATGTTCAATTAACATTTATAATTTCTATACTTTGTGTATTTAATTTTATTGAATTATATTTTTGAAATTATTGTATAATGCATTCTTTTCTATTTGTTAGATAGACTTTTACTATTACTAATAGATAATATATTTATTTAGTATAAACCAATTTTAAAATAATATAATACTGATATTCTTTAATAACTTGATTGGTATTTAATAGTACAAAATGTAAGTATATATTAATAAATATAAATTAATTAATTAATATACAAATTTTATTAACAATAAATAAAGAATAATTTATTTATTAGTTAGATTTTTGTTATAATTAATTGATAATGTTTAAGATTTTATTTTATGTTGTATTTATATTATTTGAAAGTACATTAATATAATAAACATATTTAATATAATTAGTATTTTTAATATATGTAATTAATAAATATATTAAATATAATAAATATAATAAATATATTGAATATATTGAATATATTAAATATATAATTATGATATTATGAAATTAGAATTAAGAAATTAAGAAAATTTAAAAAATTAAGAAATTAAAATTAGAAATTATGAATTATAACAATAATATTTGAAAAATTCACAAAAGAATAATAATAAAGTTAAAAAAATTTCTTTTAAAAAACTTATTTTTTGTATATGAAAGAAATAAATTTATAGTAAATCTATAATTTCTGTACAAGTGAAATTCATATAATATCAGATAAAACAAGTATCATGAGATCCATATTTCAAATAAAAAATCTATGATACATAAAATCTTAAGTCATCAAACTTTTGTATTTTATAAAATATATAAACTTCTTTACTAAGAAGTAAATACAAAATTTAATCCATGAATATGATAGAAGACCTTTTCTGAGCATATTCACAGATTAAATTTTGTATTTGCTTCTTAGTAATTAACTTTTTAACTAAGAAATAAATAGAAAATTTAACTAATAATATTATAAATAAGAACTTTCTTGATAAGATTAATATTATTAATATTATACACACCCCTACAATATATTACCGGAAATTTCAAAAATGAATTTGTCACTTTGGATCCCGATATCCAGTGATTCCACTTGAACAAAGTTATTACCATCAGATTCGTCTCGACTGTGCGGATCTAATGGTAACATCTTCGAGTGGAATCACTGGATGTCGAGATATCGGGATCCAAAGTGACAAATTCATTTTTGAAATTTCTGGTAATATATTGTAGGGGTGTATATATTCAAATTGTTTTTTTTATAATAATTTGGACAAAAATACAATAATTTGAACAAAATATAATAATTTAAAAATAAACTTTGAAAATTTGAATATATAACAAAGATAATACTAACTTAGACTATATCTGATTGGTCAGATCATTATTACAATATAAGATCTGCATTTTCAAAATTGGCACTATTGGATGACTTGATGGCTTTCAGTGTTCGTATATAAGACTTTAACCAGAGCTTTCTTATACAAAGCGAAGTCGATGAAAATTCATTGATAGTTACAGGACTGTCTTTCATTCGTCATCACCATTAAATGGTTAATCTAAAGAATCGAATTTACCTAATTCGAGGTTTCCATTTGACTTGGTGAAATCTTCAATGTTAAACTGATAGTTTATTATTCTTTAATAATTTGAAAAATTAAAAAATTAAATATACAAAGTAAAGGAGTGTGTGAGATGGCGATGATGATGATGGCGTCATATCTGAAATTATGTACTTACGATGCTAAGCGAATATAAAATCAAAATTTAAAAAATGACTATTATCTAAATTTGATGATAAAAAATTTGATGATATTACACAAACGAGAAAAGGTTAAGAATACAAACCAAAATTTGTTGGTTTTGATTGTTAATGTGTTGTTTTTGATTTCTCAAAAATCTGTGTGATGATCACAAACAAAATATTCATAGCAAAAAACAAAGATAGAAAATAATAATTTAATAATAATAGTAATAATAATAATACTTTTTTATCTACCGCAGTAAGGTTAATAAATGACAAATAATACACAAAAAATATTATTACTAGAAAAATCCTTTAGCTCGCACCAATCCATCCCACCACCAAATGCAAGAAATGAAGAAAATGAAGTGTTGATTAATTAAAGTGTTATTATTTGTGTGATTTTCCTTTTAATCTGTTATGTTTCAGTAAATATATGCCCTATGATTAATTTATCGTTTAATAATTTCCTCCTTGATAATGACCTTGTTGTCCACCACCGTATTGACCACCATATTGATCCTGTGGCGGTCGAGTTTGATATTGATTTTGTGGCGGGTACCCGGACGGTATTGGAGCACCAGGAGCGGCACCACCGGCTGAATAATCATAGTATTGTTGTGGTGGACCGATATCTTGAGAAACAGCAGAGTTAATTGATGAAGTTTCGGCGTAATAATTGTTGTCGTATCCTTGATTACTGGAGATCAGTCCTGCATTTGCATCATCTTCTCCGGAAAGAGCGGCATGTGTGAGATGTGCTGGAGCCATTTGTTGGTTTGCTCGTTGGCGTTCGTCACGTTTTGCTTTTCGGAGACGACTACGTTCCCAGTCTTCCCAGCGTTTGAATTGAACTTTGGCTGCGTCAAAGGTACCATCTTTTTTACCGTGATCGTCACCTTTTGCTTCACCTTCGACTTTTCTGTAAAAATTTGAAAGAAAAAAAATTTGTTTGTAAGAATCTGAAATAATTTATGATGTAATTAGTCAATTAATATCAAAAAGCAATTACTACGAACCTGGTTTCACCCCAGGAGAAATCATCGAAATGCCAGTAAGCATAAGTCGGAAGAACGAAATTCCAGATGGGCAAAGCCATCAAATAAATAAGCATCCATGCGATATAGACGATCTTGCGTGTGGTGATGAGAATGAGAATAGCGGGTAGACCGAGCACCATACCCAACATAAGTAATGGAATGGCACCAGAGAAATCTTTTGGTGGTGATAATATCGTGTTGATGATCAATGAATAGGTCAACATGATGGCGACCGGCAATACAACAGTACCAATCAACTCCATGAAAATAACGAATTGCATAGAGAAACAGAATGTTCCACAGAGATTACGGACAAGAACCAGTTCCATCAAATTGTGAATTGTAGAATTAATCCATCGACGACGTTGTGAAAGTAAGACCTTGAATTCATCGGGAACAACGGTTTTACAGACGGCTTGTGGGCAGAACATCATTTTACGGTGTGGGAAGTTACGTAACATGAGAGTAGTCAAGAATCGATCTTCACCGAGCAATAATAAATTCTTTTGATGTAATGTGTCGACGGTATTTTGTGAATATTCTTGTACAATTTCGGGTTTAGTGATAATTGGTACCCAGTCATCGTCACCTTTTCGTGCTTTCAATCGATACATACAGAAACAACCTGGTAAACATGTGACACCCCCAAATACTGATTCGAAACCTTTACCCAAATGATGAGAAATATAATATTCGAAGACTTGAATAGCGGTAGTGAATGAATCTTTTTTGTTTGCAATTTTTGTTTCACCGCAGAGACCCATAATCAGAGGATCGTTACACATACAGTTGATCAATAGTCGGAGTGAATCGGGATAAACTTTAGTATCAGCGTCAACCATAAGACATATTTCGAAGAAGTCCGGAGTTACACCCATAAGACGATGAATTTTACGGAATAGATCATAATCCAGAGGGGTCATACGATCGTTGTAGGTGACACGGCTGAAAAAGTTCATCAGAATCAATTGAGAATCACGTTTACCACGATTACCGGGTTTTCCTTTGCCTTGTTCTTCTTCAGCTCCACATTTAACGACACAGACAACTGGAATTTTTCGTCCTTGATATGGGAAATAACCAGCGTAGACTTTAGCCTTGTTATGTTGTTTTGAACCGGCGGCGACAGCGACATATGATTGAGGTTGAGGATCTTTGAACTCGGGTAATAATTCCAAAAGATCGACGGCAATATCGGGAGTACTCTTATCATTACCATGACCAGTAATAATACCATCACATACTAAGAAAATCAATTTACGATCATCTGGATATTCAGTTGCTGCCATTGATTCACAAGTGCACCGAAGACCTTCTTCACCTTCCGAATAACAAGTTACCAATAATACAGTGAATAAATCATTGCCGACCTCATCCATACTAACTGTCTTTACGATAGCACCAGATTCATTACGATGAGCCCAAGGAGCAGCGCGAGCACCACCGCCGTCACCTCCAACAACAACTTGTGGTGACACTACAGCTTTAGTGGATTTTTTTGGTTCCAAGGCGAGACGATGAGAGATAAACCAGTCGAATACACAGGCCATAAAGAATCGAACCATGACAATACTCAAAATGACCGTCAATGAAACGTACAAGAAAAGTTGCGAGGTAAAACATCCAATTGTTTCCTTATCAATGTTTCCGGCAAAATATTTTTGAACCAGACAATTAACAGAAGCTTTCAATTCTTGACGTCCAAAGAAAAGTCTTGTTGCATCTTTACCACCTTCTTTGTGATCAGTACCCAAAACTGTTCTGATCACGACATCAACCTTGTCATTTGGCAATGGCTGAGTTACGGCGGCGAGGTATGGATCAAGATTAAGCACATTACCATCGATAACCAAATAATTTTTAAGGGCGTCACTTGCTAGTTGTTTCCAATCATAACCAACTCGTTTTGTGGTGTTTACAATATTGTACATATCGAATTGTTGTTGCAGAAGCGGTCCAGCATTACATATTGTCTTGTTTTGACATAATTGCAGTGTTACAGCAGTAAATTGTTGAATGTCTCCTCCCCGACATGAGCCAATTCCTGTAGTATCCCGTGTGAATCTGTTTGTGATATCTTGGCCGTTTCTATCTGCGGCAAGTCGGTAAAAGTTTATTTTATCATCAGTTTTTGATTTTGAGATATCGAATTGCCAACCGAGAATACCCAGTTTCCCATTGCCTATAATGTAGTAATAAGAAGAAGAATAACAATAATAATAATAGACATTAATATTGATATATCGGTTACGTCATTTGATTTAGATAATAATAATTTAATACTTTACCGTCAGTGGAATTATATCTTATGAATTTAGTGGGGTTATTAGCTGCTGATGGCGGACATAGTACTGTTGTGAAACCAACTGTTAAGAAAGCAACAATTCCACCCATCACGACTGCAATAAAACATAGTGCAATCTTTTCACGCCAAGCTTGTTGTGACCCTTTATCGCGGAGACCGCCCAACGAAGAAAGTAAGGAACCTGGAGCCCAAAAAGTAATGACACGCGAGAACACTACCCATGGGTCCCAAGATGAACTCTCTTTAGTTGTAAGTAATGGGGAAGCTGGCTGATAACGTTCAGGCCTGCTGAGAGTTTTGCCACGATTAAGTGTGGCCCCTCGGTTTGGAGGGTATCCCGTTTCCATTTATGAAGAAGAAATGTGGTTTTTGGTGTGTTTTTGGTGTGTAATTACTACTCTTTCTCGAGCACGTATATTATTAAAGCTGTTGTTGCCTTAGCAGTTATCTTCTCAAAAGAAACAACGATAATAAAGTAAAGAGATGGTTTACTTCGATAGGCTACAATTGTCGAGTTGAAGAGAGTATATGTGTGTATATGTGTGTATATTAATAGTAATAAAATAGTAATAGAAAGTGCTTTAAAAAAGTCCTTTTTTCTATTACGTGATTATTATTACTATTATTATATAAAGAGTGAGTTTTTAAGGGAAAGGAAGGAAGGAAACACAATAGTGTGTTTTTAGGATATGTGATGGGTGAGGCAAAGGGAAAGAAGTTGGAAGTTGAGGGGAAAGAAAGGGGCTTGTTGTTGATGTTTACACTTATACTTTTTTATCTATTTTTACAATAATCACTATTGTAATATAATATAAGTGATTTAGCCAAACTAAGAATTATAATCTATAAATATATAGTACAAGAGGATCCTTTTGGTGTGTCGGGTTTAAAGGTCGGTCGTCGTCGTCGTCGTAATATATATTAAATCTTGCGGCGGTTATTCTTGTTTCTAATAATAAAATTACCCTTTTTAGTATTTTTTCTAACTTGTATTATTTGTTTATTGTCCGTTCTTGTCAATTGTCCTTCAAATATGTATAAAATTAATTTTTTTAAGAACTTATGTATAATCTATGTATTTTTCTATTCACAAAAAAAAGAAGTGATATGATGAGAGTGAAAGTAGGCGGAAGGAAAGGGGAGAAAAGAATAATTACAAACCAACAAAACAAGTAAAATTGTATGATTTTCTTCTTCTATACGCAAACACTTGTTTTTTTGGATGGGAGTGTGAAAGAGAGTATAATTTTAGTATAGAGAGCGAGAGAGCGAGAGAGAGGAGAGGAGAGGAGAGAATGAGAGAGAGAGAGAGAAGGGAGTAAGGAAAAGAAAGAGGGAAATTGATGTCTAATATTATTTAATTATGTTGTTTGAATCTTATCAAATATCCAAATATAGAAATTTAAATTTCTTCCGCTTTTATTATTTGCTTGCATATTCGATAAATTAATTTGATTTGATCAATTTGATTTGGCTCGATTTGATTTGATTGCTAATAATATAACAAGAAACACATTACACCATAATACACACTCGATCCAATTATAATTGGAATTTCCTAGCTTTGAGCGATGGTTAATTTGGCCGAAAGAACGAACTACAAGAAGGGAAAAGGACATTTACTTCTTGGCTGTGCATTGTCGATTGTGCTATGATGTGTGCATAGAAAATTGGATTGGTTTCTTTTTTTGTGTATCTGTGTGTGTGTGTGCGCGCGTGTGTGTGGTTACTGTTACGTTAGTACATGTACTAGTTTTGTTTCATAATATTAATGCGCATAAAGTTAGATATAAGTACAACAAGAGAGACACATAATAAATATTTTGATGGATCTTTAGCTTTTTTTGTTAATTGACGTGAAGGCTTTGATTGTGTTGATTTGGTATCAACTCTAGTATCAAATCACGTTTAACGACAAATGCGTAAGCTTTCTATAGAAAAGAAAACGAGGCTTTGCTGATATTGTTTTTCGAAAATCAAATGTGGCTTGAAGACTCGTGTGACAAATTTTTGTTTTCCGATATCTTAGTCATTTAGTTTGTTTTCGTTCTTTCATCTATTGGCCTCTTGATTTACGAACATAAATTAATGTGATCTTGCATCTGCTTTACCAGATCACATATTTTTGTTTGTAATTGTAGGCGAGGTAATTATGAAGTTTGTGTGTGTACTTGTCGCTATTTTTAAACGCAAAACGAAATTTCATTGTAGTTTCTATTATAAATTATAATTTCTAATTATCGGAATCATAAAGGAATTATTCATGATGTATGGTGCCCGCATGTATGTATGGTGCATATACATATATTAATTATCGTTGAATATAGAGAAAAGATTACACAGTTTGTTATTTTTCCACTTGAATGTTTCATCTAAGAATAAATGACTCGATGGATGTTTGATGAGCAGATGATGAGCTTTATATATATATACTTTTGGTTGTATGTAAATTCGCACATTTATTTTTGCTTGTTTGTCTATCTACTTTACCTACCACCACATTAACTGACATCGTTGTATAAAAGGTAAACCCCTGCATCGTCGTAGCTTTTTACGTTTACTTGTTCATTGTGACTACTACTACAACTACTGCTGCTGCTGCTGTTACTACTGCTACTACTACTACTAGTATGCGAACCTATCATACAAGAGGCACAACTAATTGTTTTATTATCTATTCATGCATGTCTCATAAAGATATTCCGCGCGTTTTTAAGTTTTTTTTTTTTTGTTTCGAGATTATAAAAAGAAATATTAAAGTTTATAATATAATTTGAAACATATCTTCTGAAATGAATGAGAAAAAGACTATCCCTTTTTTATATATACGCTTGTGCTAAGTCATTATTTTTGTTCAAGATTTCAACTTAAAATCTGTGATGTTTGCGATTAATTTCAGCAAAATATTAAATTTTAAGATTTCAAAAACCTCGATTTGATAGGTTTCTTTTGAATTTTTCCAAGATTCACACTTATCGTGTTTAGTTGAAAATTTACGGATGTAGTAAATCTACATACAATTTTGCTTAATTTAATTATTTAATGTTTTATTGAACTTCAAGATGCCCGAATTTGACTAAAATCAAAGATTTAAGCAAATTAATCACGCATTCCCAAAATTAGCAAATTTGTTATATCGATATTGCTGGATTCCTATAATTTGGTATTAAAGTCCGTAAAGTATTGGTCTCAATTAAGCATTTATTTTTTTTCAACTTGATTATCAGAAATATTTTTGTATTTAATCAAACAAATATTGAATGCTTCCAATTATTATTATAATTAATTTTTTTCAATCTAAGCAATCAATAATTGATTTTTGTTATCTTCACCATCAGACACGTAATTATAAAATAATTGATTTCTATTTATTGAGTATATATGCAATTATTTGAAATAAATTATTTGGGAATATTTGCACATTGTTATAATTGGGAAAAATCACGGATATCATATATAATTTAAAGTTAACGTCGCAAAAGGCCTCCATGGCGCAATCGGTTAGCGCGTTCGGCTGTTAACCGAAAGGATCCTGGTTCAAATCCAGGTGGGGGCGAAAATAATGTATTTTCCATTTTACACATATCGATATGTAATTAACGATCATCTATCGCTATGTGTAGCAAGGAAAAATAAGGTGACTATTTGCTGTTTTATATTGTGCATAAGTCAATTGCAGTATGATTATGACAGGCTGAAGAGACGAGAAAGCGTACACGATACCTTACATGCTTATGTGTAATATATTATTAGTTTGGTGAAAATTTCTACAGTACGCTTCAACCGTTTTGCTACTTCTAAACTTCTTAGTAATAAATATACAACCCAATTCATCTCGTAATGGAAAATAAATCACGACATTCGAAAAATATCAAATATCGCAGTAACATCAGAACACAGACAAAAGAACTATGTCCTTGGCCATAACTGGCTGCGAATTGAATTAGAGTTAACAATCAGCGCGGTGAACATAAAGTGGGACAAAGAACTATCCAGAATGGTGAACAAGCAGTCGTATAAGCGACAATTAGAATTAGAGGTGTCGCAATACGAATGTGGTGACGGTTATCAACGCGGCGAATTTCGTCGCCACAGAGCGATTGGGATGCATATAAATAAATACAAATTTAAATACTATCTTATCTGAACGCATTATATTATATTATATTTAGAATAAACTTTGAACTCAAAGAGGAATTTTACATGTAGCAAACAATTGTGAATTTTCTGACCAGAAATCGTTCAGAAAAAATTTCTCTTTAATGATAACTAATTAGCGTTAGCTCATTTAATTGATACTACTGTATTTGAAAAACTGAACACAATTCCAAGAACGAGCAGCGCCATTTTGCGGTGATCCTATATTTGACGTTGATTGGTAATCAATGCAGTTCATTTTTTTTATATCGTTTATAATTTGAAATGGAGCTTGTTCTTTGTTGAATGAACAGATTACCATAGTAATAAATTATAACAAACCAGCAAAAGAACCATGTTATACGAGGAATTGAACCATATTCGGCTTACAAGCCCGAGACAAAATATATATCGATATATACGATGCTATTTATAGTTGGTTCCGAATCCGTTCATATCAATCGTCTATATATTATGAGTTTTATGAAACGCGTAACTTAAACAAGTAAAATGATACGGCCAAATTTTAGTTATGAATTACATATTCTTCTAAAACGTCGTCAGAATTAACTGAATAGACCACATAGGAAGAAATTCATGTGATTGGCTAATTTATGTCGATCCAAGCATGATTATTGACCAATCAAATCAATCAAAGAAATTAGCGATGTATTTATACTTTAAATAGTAAATACTATTCTATTTTTCAGTCATCACTATCTTTACTAGACACATTACAACTAGAGTTTGGAATCGGTTATATTTTTAAAAACCGGTTTTTACTAACACCTTGAAAATTGCAACCGGTTATATATTAAAACTGGTTATATTAATTCTGTTTCAACCGATTAATTGGTTATATTACTGTCTCCACCTTTTTTCGAAATACAAAAATCCACACCCTTACCGTTACTAATTAATCGTTTACAACCGGTTATATTAAAACCGATTAACCGGTTATAATAAAACCGATTAATCATTTTGAAAAATTTTCGAACCGGTTATAAATTAAAATCGATTAAACCCGGTTATAAATCCGATTCCGATAACCGGTTCTAACCTCTAATCACAACCATTACCTATATTATAATTAAACGACACCACTTGTATTTATTCACATTTATACACATTACCAACGAGCTTAACTTTTATTTAGATTTAAAATTATAAAGTAAATGATATATAAAGCTTTTCTTTAAGATTAAACTATCTTGCTTGTCTTTTTTCGTTGACTGTTTTCAGCATAATAGTACATATATAGAGTTGGTAATAGTAGTAAATAGTAAATTTTTTGCATAGTGAATGTTTGAAGCTAGAAATGGTTTTTATGGTGATTTTTTATTAGTGAAACGTGACGTTCTCAAAAAGTACTTTAAAGTATATAAATAAGTTATCCGAACAATCCCGGACAATTGATTTACATCAGCCAATCACCTATGATTACTGATATGCAGATCACGGCAGAGGTCGGATCGGATATCGGATGGATGTGTAGGATCACATGACCGAAATATAACGCGTGGAAATTGCATAATCTTCTAACGCGACGCGAAGCTAAAGTATAACGCGCCAATATCCTTTATCTTTAAACTTTCTCGACTTTACATCATGGAAGATTACGAACTTTCGCTCTCCGATAATGAATTAATTGAAACAGACCCAATATCAGGATCTATGGAATGGCAATTAACTCCCAAGCAGAAAGGCAAAGGAAAAGCCGTGGATTTGGTGGGGGAAAACCCTTTTTTTAGCCCACAGCATCTCGATGAAGGAAAATCCAGAGAAACCGAAGATGAATGGCAAGACAGCAATAACAAGGAAAACTACGGGAGTTTAACCAACTACAATGTAAACCAATATCAAGCAATGGATGTGGATGACGCGTTTGACCTATCTCCACTTGATTATTCAACAAGCTATGCTGGTGAGGGTGGTGGTAGTAGTAGTGCTGATGCTTCGTCATCATCACCTTCATTAATTCAACAGAGAAAAAATATGCTTGAGGATGATGAGATTCCAGAGGCTGATCGGTTTGTGATAGCAGAATTGCTTTTGGAAGAAGAAGAGCAAAATAATAGTTATGATCCTTTTGGCTTTGAAACAGGTTATAAATAAATTTTTTTGTAAGTTTGAATATAATATTATCAATTTTGCTATTAAAGGTGAACATTTATCATGTCAATGATAATCAATAGGGGAGGAAATATTATCCCGAAAAAGGAGGAACGAATTGTCTTCATCCGATTACACACCCTCTCAAATTAGCAGCAGGGATAAACCAGCCACCAAAAAACCGACTTATGATTACTCACATAGAGCCAAAAGATTCACAACTGCACCTATCTCCTCCTCATCATCATCGTCATCATCATCAATATTTAGAACCCCGATAGAAACCAGCGTTTCAACTGAAAGTCAAATTATATTAAATACATCAAACAAAACTTCGAATTATAATTACAATCCACCACTGGATTCTTTTGATATTTCGGATTTCAATAATGACTTCAATTTTAATATGCCAGCAACAAAGTCCACAGATTCTTATCTCAAATCACTGAGTGTAGCAAATACACCGTCTCCACTTTCTTCCATTTTCACCGAAAGACCAAAAACAGGCGAATTTCTTAAGGCAACAACTTCTAAAGGTCTTTTGCTGTATTTTCCCAAAAAATCACAGACGACTACAGAGTTGCCACTGGTATACTTTAATAGAAAAGTGAACATCACAAAATGTTGCCCATTTATTAATTAACTCTATTTTTTTTAGAGAAGTTATGATAAAAGCTGTTTGCATGATCTGTCGATATCTCGTTTAATTAGTAAAATCGAAAAAGATAAAATCGCAAAAGCTGAACTTAGGTACGTATCAGATTTATTGGATGCTCTACATATATTAAAATCACAAATAATTAATATTTTTGATTATTTAATAAAAGTCGAACAAATTTGACCGCTTCAAAACCGACAGCCAAAATCAAAACAGAAACTAAATTATGGGTTGATAAGTATCGTCCAAAACGATACATCGATCTTGTAGGTGATGAGGTAAAGATGATAATTGTTTTTTTTTCAGCTAAAATCTTTGTTAGTTTTATTGCATATCGAAATGACGTGTTTGTATCTAACAGAAAGCAAACAGAGAAATCCTAAGATGGGTCAAACAATGGGATTATTGTGTGTTTGGCACAAAATCAAAGGAGAACGAAGTTATAGAAGAAAAAGTATATAAACTTTATGATTTTTAAATAAAAATTATAAGCTCTTTGACAATGATCTTATTATGTATTTCAGATTCAAGATCCATGGCATCGGCCAGAAAAAAAGGTTTATTTTTTACAAAGTATTAAAAAATCTTTAAATATGTTAATTTATCATCTAAATACGTATCAAAAAAGGTATTGCTGTTAAATGGTCCGCCTGGTTATGGTAAAACGACTCTAGCCCATGTGATAGCGCGCCATTGTGGATATAATGCTATTGAAGTGAATGCTAGGTTTGTTTAATAGTCGTTAACAATAATAAGTCAATAAATATTTTACTTTTGATTTTTTTAATTGTTAGTGATGATCGAACGGCCAATGTTGTCAACAATCAGATCAAAGATTCTTTAGAAAATAAGTCGATTAATCCTAATCACAAACCTACTTTGCTAATTATTGATGAAGTTGATGGTGCGTCGGGTAGCGGAGAACAGGTTAGAGAATAAATCATGATTAGTATTTACATATGCATAAATTGAATTTCTTATGTTAATTACTTTCCTTTGTGACAGAATTTTGTTAAAGTATTAGTAGATTTGATTCAAGGTGAAGCAAAAGCCCATACTATGACAAAGAAAAAACCTGGGATCGCTAGTTCAGGTTCGAGGCTGTCTTTTTTACTTTTTTACTTTTTCATATTTTCAAAATTAAAATTACATTAATAAATAATTATTTATTATTCAATAGCGAAAAAATCCGTCAAAAAATCAATTCTTTTTCCTATCATTTGTATTTGCAATGATCAGTACGTTTTATTTTTCATAATACGTTTTACTTATTAAGACGCAAACGATCGTTGATGTAATCATTTTGTTTCAAGATATGCATCCGCACTTCGTTCCTTGAGGCTAATTGCACAGATATTTCAAATTCGAAAATGTCCAACCCAAATTCTTGCTAATCGACTTAAAGATATTTGCGACCGCGAGAAGTTATCGGCTGATATGAGAACTTTATCAAATTTGGTAGAAACTTCGGACGGAGATATGAGAAGTTGTCTAAACACTTTACAGGTTTGTAAAAAATTATTGGTTTTGATTGTTTAAAGTAAAAATTTTGCCAATGCTAATTTTTTCTTAATTTTCTATAGTATGTAAAACAGAAATCTGATGTGGTCACTATCGAATTGATCGCTGAGTCCGGGGTTGGAATAAAAGATACCCAAAGTACAATTTTCACAATTTGGGAAGAAATTTTTACACTTTCAACAGCAAAGAAACGAAAGGATGGATTAAACTCTATGCTATCAGAAACAATGGGTTAGATTTATTTATTTTATTATAGCTCAAAATACGAACAGCATTAATGAACAATTAAATTTTTCGTTTAGGTACTCATCCAAATCGATATATTGAGAGACTTTCGACATTAATCAACAATAATGCAGAATACGAAAAATTAATGCAAGGTATTTATTATCTATATATATATATATTCTTTTCTTCAGAAAATCTAAAAACCAGCACTTTATATGATTATCAATATTAAATTTTTTCATCAACACAAAGGTTGCTTTGAAAATTATCTGAAAATGAAATTCCACGATACAGCTTGTACAAAATTAATGGAAGCAAGTCAGTGGATGATTTTTTATGATCAACTAAATACGAAAATTAACACGAAACAAGAATTTTCGTTTCTGTCTTATTTGCCGTATCCGTTGATTAGTTTTCATCGGTTCTTTGCTGGCAGTGTTAAACCACGGCTCGAATATGCAAGGATGGATTATGAGGTTTATGTATTTTCCATTGCTATTTGCTGTTTATGTATTCATATATAAAATTAACTTTTGACTATAAGATGATAATGGTGATTCAACAGACTTTTTATCTTAAAATTTGCAATTGTTGTATAATGATAGGCTTATTTGGAGTTTAAACGAAATGAGGGCATAGTATTGAGCGTTCTCTCTCAACTTCCAGCAAATTTAAAACGAGATTTCAACAAAAACACTTTCATTACTATTGTTCTTCCATATCTAATGAAAATAATATCGTCACCGGATATCAAAACAGTAATGATTTGCTATCAGTTTATTGTTAATTAAGTTATTTATTTTAAATTAAATTAAATTAAATTAAATTATTAGTTTAAATTTACTTTTTTATTTAGACAAATCAACTACTCTTAAAGCCACACGAAAAGCAGATCATAGCGAATATAGTAAATATCATGGTGACGTTTGATCTTCAATATGTCAAAGAACGAAATGAAGATGGTCAATTGGTATTTAGACTTGAACCGTGAGTTAACAATGCTTTTCATTTCATTTCATTTCTTTTCTTTGATTAGAGTGATCAAATAATAATTTTTTTGTTAGGCCACTTGATCGCTTACTACAGTTCTTTAATAAAAATAACAAATTCGGGGGTCAACAACAGTCATTTCGTCAGATCGTGTCTCATGAAGTATGTAACTTTGATCCCTTTTCTTAATTATTGTTTTTATGCTTACATGATGATTTTCTTTGCATATAATAGATTGAACTAGCAAAAATTCGAAAACATGCTGTAAATACGACAAAGACATTTGACCCGTACGTGATAATGTTAATCTTTTGATTGTTTTAGAATTTATTTACAATTAATATATTTGTACGATTTAGTAAATTGAGAGCTAAACCAGGAGAGTACAGTATAATGGAGCAATCACCAATTGAAATCAAGGTATATTATTATCATTGTCATTAAAAATTCAGAAAAGGATTTTTTTTATTACAACACTAAAAAAAATCTGCATGAAGCCTCCAGTGGATTTCTTTGGCAGGCCTATTACAACAGCTTCCAAGATATCCAAAGAAGGTACGTAAGCCATAGTTTATTATTTATTCAAAGAATCAGTTCTCTTAAAAAATGCCGTGATTTACATATGTCTTATTTTCTCTATATAGGAAAAAAGAATAAAGATGATACTTCGTCAACTATCTGGTTTCGGTATAATGAATCATCTTCTACTGCTGTACGAACATACCCGCGTGTTAACGAGTTTCTTGCTGCAGATTTATATTCGTAACGGTAAGCTGCTGACTCATGTTAGTGTTGATTATTTGATTTCGTGCTGGAAGATCAATTGGTTGAGAATAAATATTGATTAATAACGACATGCACTCTATCCTTAAAATTACGATGATCTGATGTTGGGATTGAATATGCTTTCTGTATGCAATTGTCCTTGATGTTGATAGTAATAACTACCAGATGATGCCAGGAAATTATAACCACCACAATTATCATTAATAAATAAATTTCATAAATACATATAGTTTTTTCTTCTGCGCCACTCGACAGGACGTTATTATTGGTTTGCGTTCACGTGAGCGTGAATTTTGCTGGCGATGCAGGAGAAGTTATGCGATTTTACATAGAACTGGTATGCAATGAACACCCAATAAGAAGTTATACACGTGATATATCCAGTGCTGAAAATGAGAATATAAGCTTTTCAAAAAAGTCTAACTAAATAAATACATTGTATTATAAATTTTATTAAAAGCTATTTGATAATGTATTTTTTTTTGTATTTACATATTTGGATACAGAGTTTATGTGATTCAAAATATTTGATGACTTTAGACTTGGCGCACCATATATATTTAAATAAAATTCCTTTACACTCCAAAGTTATTGGATGGCTTTAGACTGTTTGCACCATATGAAAGAGACAAGTTTCAATTGTTATATAAATATATAAAATCTTTAGTTTAAGCACCAAAACAATATTTAGGTCTCTTTGTTATTAATATACGAAGTGAGAGTTACCTGAAGAAACCAACTCGTTTTTAACTGATCTCTTTTACTTCCTCAGGATCTTCTACGCATTAACAATCTGTAAAAAATAGGCTCAAATATAAAGATTTCACTTTGTTGATTCCAATAATAATAGCTTCTCGTAAACCAAATCACACTTTTTCCATTTCCCAAAAAATAAATAATCAATAATCCAAATGTAATAAATACAAAAATTTTTTAAATTCAAATAATTATCTAAGTAAAAGAATCAATCCCGCAATCCCCTTAAGTAGAGATTTTTTGTGCTTATTAATAAAAAAAAAGTTTTCGATCAAATAACTCATTATTATAATTATTAGGTAACAAGAACATGGCCAATAATAAATCAATCACTCCTATCATCATTGATTACTTACCCAATGTAATCTTATCACCAAGACTCAACGCTATTCCTTGAGTCTTGCTTCTAATACGAACATGTCCCGCAATAGCGCTATCCGTCTGTTTTTCAATACTGAGATTTGCTAGTGCGTCCTCGCCTATTCGTAGCAAAAAAAAGATTAAGATAAAAATCCGACAAAGACGAATATATAATTAATTTTCATTGCAATTCTCTATCAATATCTTACCGAAAATACTTCTAGCATACATATTAGCAGAGAGGAAGCCACAATCCCCAGATAAAGCTGCTTCCGGGGTTAAGCAGCTCATGTTTGTGGATTTCATTATGTGGCGAAGGTATTCGCTTAGATCGCTAGTATACAAGAGTTTTTAATAATAATAATAATAATATTAGTTCTATTTGAAACTTTAAGGAGTTTTTTAATCGTTATTATTAATAGCATATGTCTTACGTGATGTTGGTGTTGACGTTGACTTTGTTTTCCCATTCGAATTCAGTCCACATGCTACGGAACTATTATTATTTATTATTATCAGATGAAAATGAAAAATAAATAAGTCTTTAGAATCTTTTTTTATCGGACACTAACTAAATTTAAAAACTAAAATAATATCTGCAAGAGATTATTGTTTACCTGAGTCTCGTTGCAGTAAGCAGGATTAATATAATCCATTATATCAATATGTATATCATTAAGCACCACACAATTGCTTTCCGAGGTTCCAGGTCCATCGTACACAATATTACCGAAAATAACACCAGTTTCTGTAGACGAAACCTGATTGTATTTCACAAAACGAACAAACAAGCACAGCTTCAGAATTCTCATATAAAAAACAAGTACATTTCAACAATCGTTATTACCTTAATTGTAGCTTTCACGCTGTGAAAAGCGTGCGGCGCTAAATTATGCTGAGTGGGTCGTTCGACCAATTTAAGATCACCCAATGTCGCGAATTCTAATGAGAGGTTTTGGAGTGTTTCGTTTGTTTGGTTTACTATTAGGACATCTAGAAAAATGTAATTTTATCATATGTTTGTTTATGATCAGTTCTTTTGTTTGAACAATCAATAAATGGAATCAAATAGTAAAGAAAATGTGAGAAGACTAACTAACCTAAAAGAATATCATATTGGTGAACGTTCGCATACGCTTCAGCGTATACCGGATCGGAGAAACCTTCAAAAAAAATTTTCAAATTTGAACTTATAAAATTTCGTACAAATAACTGGAAATAACAATAGAAATTTAAAAATTACCAGTCAATTGTACAACACGACTAAGTTTAGATATTAAGTCATCGCGTGAGTCATTTTGTCCTGTAGCACGTGTCAAATCGAGTTCATACTAAAAAAATCGAAACCATTACTTATCATTATTATGATAATTAGACATGTACAGTAAGTACGCGTCTTTTATTCATTTCACACATTACCTCATCATTATCGTCTCCTAAATTTCTCTTGGAGAACTGCCGAAAAGATATAAGATCATCAACTTGCACAGCTTGGGCTGATTTATCCTTTGCTTTTTTTGCCGCAGTACGTTTCTGCAGTGATATGTATGGCACGTAACAAAATATTAAGAATCATTATGGAGACTTCTTCAATAGACAAAGATTATGTAACTTTTATCGTAAGGAAATATTAACTAACCTCTTCAGCTTCGATTATACGCGCAAATGACGCTTTAGTATCATGCAAAAACACAGACTTTATCGCTGTGTCTTTCGAAAAATTTTCTAAAACATGTAGACAGGACATTATACGATCGTAAGAATCTTCATCAATAGGAGTTGTGGCAAATTGAGATCGGCCGACGCGTATTATACTGGCCATTATTAACATAGCCTATTTAAAATAAATTTGCAGATAAAAATAAAAGGTGAAAATATGCAATCTGCGACTTTTACAATTATGTCTCCTTAGATTTTTGGACTGGGAAAAATTTGTACCTCCGCGCGTAACGAATTCACTCGTTTATGGTCATCAGACTTTTCTGCGAAACGCATGATCAATTTTGTCAGAGTAGACGCCAGTACGGAGCCCATATAAAAATCGCCGTTGAGCAGTAACGCTAATACAATAAATGATTTATTGATAGATAAATGAGTCAGTCATCATAACCGAAGTATTATAAAATTATTATAAGATATAGAAAATTTTCACCACCTCTTAACGGTGGCTTCGCCGCAGCTTTAACAGCCTCAAGTTTCGCAAGAGCTGACGAGCTATTAGTAAAAGCAGTTTCAGTAGCATATGTCCCGTCAGCGAGAATTCGACGAGAGGTTGATGCTATTGCGTGTTTGCTGTCAGTATTAATTTCTTCATTGCCATCTTCCTTGGAAGCTTCTTCGAACAGTCGCTAATTTGATATTTAAAAATCTTGTGAATAATTTAAAGTAATAACGATGGTAAATGGTCCTCCATTTTATCGAACCTGTTCCGAAGCCAGTATAGGTATTTCACCAACTCCAGCTCGAATCTGTTTCCAAGCATCTTCAATATCTAGTTAATAAAATATTAATATCATTTATTCACAAGGCAGTTTCCGAAATTAAAGCATAATAGGTAAATTTAAAAAAAGGTACCTTGAACACTTGCACAATACTCTCCAACAATCCATAAAGCGCCCCTAAACACTTTACCGGATTTGACGTCCATAAACGTTTCCAATAATCTCTCAATGATGGAAGATCGTAGATTAGGAAATTTCTCCACAACTTCACTAATTCATTTTTTTTTAAAAACAAAGATTAATTAATTTAAGCATCATGACCGTTAGAGCAATATATTTAACAAAGTAGTTGTTATTAATGTTCTAGTATACCACGATCACAATCAGTTAGTAAGTTAACATATAGATATATATATATATCTCTAAACTAACCTACCGCACAAAAGCAATAACATCAACGGCAGCCGGATTATTCGAGTCCCCAAGAAATTCCATAAGCACATGCACAACATTCGCAGCAACTTCAGAGAATTTGATTGCACATGAATGAATCGATTGGATAAGGAGTTGTCTGTACTCGGTGTTCTGTTTAGGAAATGGAAATTATAATTTACTTAAATATCTATAAAATATCGTTGTTTGGAAATCAGAGCATTACTTTTTCAAAATCCTGATCAATAGTTTTCGCGAGCTCCTTTTTCAGAAATACCACAACTTCCTGAACATTTCGAGTCGAGACTAATTCCAGACCAATACGTAAAGCTTTTCGTCGAACTTCAATATCTGGGCTATTATATTTGTTTAATTAATATTATTTTCTATTAATTGGCCAACCCAAGAAAAATGCGGATAAAATATAATAAATGAATAAATAATAAATTTCTCTCCTTTGAGGAGGAATAACATAAGCTAACAAACCAACCTCGAAAGCACACGTAAAATATCCAACACCAAATCGTCCAAAACATTTTCATGTTTTTCACGCAATTCGTCTAAACGATCCAACACGATTAATTTGATATTGTTGTCTGATTCTTTGATAATAAGTTCGATATAACATGCGGCCGCAGCTAAACATAAAAAAAATGTATATAAGATTGACAAACTATAAATATTATATATAACCAGCCTCATTATTATTAAATCTTTAGTTTGTTAGTACCTTTTACAGCAGCAGGAGCGTGTGTTAAAGCCATTAAAGATGTGGCAGCTTCATACTTCACAGAATGTGAAGCGGCATTCAATAACTCAAATATACATTTAATATATCTCCCCTACATACAATAATAGGAATTCAGGTTAAAAGGAAACCCAAGAAATTAACTTGTACGCAGATTAATAAATACCCGGTTAGTACTGTTATTTCGACAATCCTTTCTAATCAACTCAATTACCGCCAGCTGCAGCAACTCATCAAAATTCGGCACTTGATCAAACACTTCATTGAGATACTCTACAGCGCGAGACTGACTTGTATTGCATAACATGACAAACGCGTTTCGTTTGCTTGTCTGATCTGCTTCCTTGTTGTGTATATATGTGTTGAATTAAATAGATTGAAAAAAGTCAATTATTTGGTTTAGAGCAAAATAATTCGGTAGCCGAAAATTTATGCTTCAATCTTATCATCTTACCGCAACCAGAAAAGTCTGAATTAACTCTGGCGCATCGGGGATCAAGTACTCAAAGTGTTTGTATATTGTGTATATGGCGAATACCGCGTTTTTTCGTACATAAGAGTGGCGATGTTCCTAATAAAAAAAAAATAGTATCATCAAACTTTCCATGCACAGATATATAAAGCACGATACAATCCGATTTTTCGTGTTTTAATCTACCAAACAAGATCTACAAGACGGCAATAATGGTTCTAGTAGTTCTGGCTCTCGTAACTTGCATAAAAATCGGAGAGTTGCACCTCGTATATACTCATTTGGATGTTGCAAGTCGTTTCGCAATGCGTTACTAGATATAATTTAATTAAATATATTAACTAGTAAGTTATCTGCCATGTACTTTATATATCCATGCATTTCATGCATTAGCATAGAATCCAGTTTGTAACTTGAGGATTCTGAATCAAATTCCTTATCTGAATGAATTTGATCTAACAGACAAGATATAATGGAATGGTTTCGGTTCTTTATTACGTCACGTGATACAAAAAATTCAATCACGTTTTATTTTTCGAATCAAAAATACCCAGAATAAAATAAAATAAAGATCAATCAATACACACCACACCAAAATCATTTCCTGCTTCAACTTTCCATCCGGATTAGTTTTCGGACAAATCTCCCAATAAAAATGCAACAACTTTTTCAATGTCTTATTTTTCGATGGCATGACAAATCGAATAACCTGCATTAACAGCTGCGGGAGTTGATCCCCATTGAGCATTGTGACTAAAATTTTTTTCATTGTCTCGATTTTTACTTCCTCCGAGCCTTTTTCTAGGGCGGACTTCAAATCTTGGAGAGAGGGTTGGTCGGCACTGTCATCCTGGTGTATTATTGTGTAGCAAGTGTCTGTTGACATTTTGTTTTTGTTTTTTTAATTGACAAGTTGAAAATGTAAAATTGTAAATGAAGTCTTTTTTTGGTCAAAAACTTGCTGTATTATGATTGGCCAATTGCTTGATCTGATTTCGTGCAAATCAAACATAATGGGACATTAAGAATTTTACACGTGATTTTGAGTTGCTATTTAAGAGATTTATTTGGTTTATTTTTTTGTGGCAGGAATCCAGCCTCCACTGTATATTATTTTACTATCCATCATCATACACTATCCACCATCATTTATCCTGTTTTGAGCCAAATTTTGATAGTCATTATATAGTAATGCTCTATCACATGACTTAATGCTAGCCAATCAAATAATTATGTTATATTTCAGTATCAATTTTATAAATTTTTTATTTTAATTCTTGGTTCAAAATTATAAAACTTTGTATAAGCATACATCGGGTTTATTTGCATTATACTCGTCATCCTCCTTTGTATCACGGTCATGCTTACTTCTCTGCACTGGGGTAGTTTCATATGGTAAAAGTGTACTTTTTTTGATAATGTATTCATATGCTCTGGTGTACAGCAGTGTTGGCCAATTTCATGGTCATAAGTCATACAGAATTTATAATAAAATTGAGGTCATATAAGGTCATATGACTCATCAAGGTCATAGTCCAACACTAGTGTACGGTATCCGCTCTTGAATGTGTCAGCTTCAGCAGATGTTGCATTGAGTGTAGTGCTTGTGAGTTTTCCATTGGTTTCTTCATGCTTTGATTATTTTTCGTGTGAATATAAACCTAGATAAAATCCAATCGTTATTAAAAAAATTTAATAATCATCCGTTTCCATCGTCGATTCCTTTATCATACTGTTGAAAACGCGTTCCACTTTTAATGAACTATCAAGCTAATGAGAATCCATTAGAGAATAATTTTTAAAATCGGCCAAATTTTGAATATTGGCCGAATTAAAAAATTTCTTGCTCTTGCGGGAAAAAAGGTAGCCAGAATGATAAATGCTATTAAATAGGTCTGTTATATGCAAATTTCGCGTAAAGAACCATGAGATGGATGATTTTCTATCTATATGGTGCCGGAACTCTTAAATCGACAATATGTTCAATGTTTAAAATGCTACTACTCGACATAGAGGCAAAATTTTCCAAATCTGACCGGTAACTTTGTTCTTTATAATAAGCTCTACTCTATGTCGAGTAGTAGCATTTTAAACATTGAAACATATTGTCGATTTAAGAGTTCTGGCACCATATAATGACCCTAGCCGACTTGGATGCGCCGGCGCAGAGTCGACTCGCCGAGTCAGATCTTTCAAACGATTTCTAAATTTGAGATGCGCTCCATCCATCCAATAGGGGTGCGCAAATTTTTTTGATCAACCCGGCAAAACAAATCCGACACAAGATATGAAAAATGCGAGAAATGTGAATATTACAAGAAAACCGATGCTTAAACCTGTCTTGGAATACTAATTAAAAATGTTAGGAAGGCAATTTTATATACAACTTTGTTCTCTAACTCTAATCCTTACTCTTACCCTGACCTTATAAATCATTAATCGGTTGCACACTGAAAATTTAGAGGGACTGAATCACATGTTCACCACATCTCTAAATTTGGTATATGATGCATCATTATCCACATGGTGGGATTTTGATTCCACAACCGATTTAACTATAAAAATTATAAGATGATCGATTTTAGTTATATAAAGAAGGAAGCTTTTAGAATCTTTTTGTTACCAAAGTTCAACTTCCATAATGTCTAAGACAAGTCTCAGTAATAAATTATCCATTAAAGATGTCGATTTAAAGGACAAGCGAGTTCTTATTCGGTAATATTTAATAAAATGTCGAAAAATGTCTTGATTAAGGATCACGTGTCGCTAATTATACAAATAAAAAATCGATTAGAGTTGACTTTAATGTTCCATTTCACGACGGAAAAATATCCAGTAATCAACGTATCATTGAAGCTTTGCCAACGATTAATCATGTCTTAGACCATGGTACAAGAGAATTGATATCTGAGCGTATCTTTAATAAGTAACACCTGTAATCTTTATAGTGATCTAAACCTTATCCTTGTAATTGATAGGGGCGAAAGTCATTATACTGATGTCTCATCTAGGTCGTCCAGGTGGAAAAAAGAATTCAAAACTTTCTTTAAGACCAGTTTCTGGGGAACTCGGTCGTTTAATAAATAAAGAAATTCTGTTTCTCGAAGATTCCGTCGGTCCTGAAATAGAGAAAGCTGTGGCAAATGTGACCGGAGGTATTAAAATAATTTAATATGTATCATCAAGGAGTGTCGATTAATTGATTATTTTTTTTTAATTTATGATTATTGTTAATTCTCTCAAGGACAAGTTATTCTTCTCGAAAATCTTCGCTTCCATATTGAAGAAGAAGGTTCTACAAAAGATGACCAAGGAAAAAAAGTAATATCGAGTTTGATCTTTAAATGCAGTAACTTTAAATTTATTGAAAATTTTGATTCTATAATAGGTAAAAGCATCAGCAGAAGATGTAGCTAAATTCCGTGCTTCTCTATCCAAACTTGGTGATATCTATATCAACGACGCATTTGGAACATCACATCGTCCTCATAGCTCCATGGTCGGCGTTGATTTACCAATTCGTGCTGCTGGTTTCTTGCTAAAAAAAGAATTAGATTTCTTTGGCAAAGTCCTAGAAAATCCCGAAAGACCGTTCTTGGCTATTCTCGGAGGGTATGCTTAAGATTCATATTTTATAATTTACTATTATATCAATTTACGAGTTTTGATATTTCATAGCGCAAAGGTTTCAGACAAAATTAAATTGATCGACAATCTTCTCGATAAAGTGGATTCCATGATTATTACTGGTAAGTATTCATTAATATTGCTTGGATTGATAACGAGAAACAATTTTTTAATTGGAAAACTATTATTACAATTAGGTGGCATGGCTTTTACTTTCAAAAAAGTTCTTGAGCATGTAGAGGTAAACAATTTGTCTCGTTTTTTTTTTTTTGTTGTATTCCAAATTTCGATTAACTTTATAAATTATTCATTTGATAGATTGGAAATTCCTTGTTTGATGAGGAGGGATCAAAAACAGTTGCTCATTTGGTTGAAAAAGCCAAAACCAATAACGTAAATCTGGTCTTTCCGGTCGATTATGTGACGGCAGATAAGTTTGACGAGAATGCCAATGTCCGCAGATATTCGTATTTTTATTTTGCTTCGATTGTAATGGTTCTCTATTGAATGAATTTACGCATCTATTGATTTCTCTAAATAGACTGGTTATGCTACTGATGAAACAGGCATTCCAGCTGGATGGTTAGGTCTTGACTCTGGTAAGAAAACGAACGAAATTTTCAAGAAAACTATCTTAGAATCAAAAACGATCCTTTGGAATGGGTAACCAATTTTTTGCAATTATCAGTCAATAATTTTAATCGCCAATATTTTAGCTGAGATTCTCATTTTATCTATATAGTCCAACTGGTGTCTTTGAATATGAAAAATTTGCAGTTGGCACGAAATCCGCCCTAGATGCTGTGATTGAAGCAACAAATAATGGTGCGACTACGATTGTAGGTGGTGGTGATACAGCCACTGCTGCAGCCAAGTGGGATGCTGTAGACAAAGTTTCTCATGTTTCTACAGGAGGTGGTGCCTCTTTGGAATTGCTTGAAGGTTAGTTTTGTCTTGGTATATTTCTAAAAAGCTCTATTTATTTTTTATTTACTAACATTATTTCAACATTAAATTTTAGGCAAAGAACTACCTGGAATTTCTGCCCTCTCATCTAAATAAATTATTAATGTTATTTATTTTAAAAACAGAAATAGCCAAGATCTATTGCTAGAATAATTATACATTTATAATAGCTATATATTGATATATTATTTCTTTTATCATGAATTTTTGGTCCAATTTATAATTCAGTACTCAAGTTTTATTAGCTATTTAATATATGTATAAAAGAAAAAATAATTAATTTCAATAAGTTGAACTCTCGATAAAGTGAAGATTAATTAAATCTTAATAAACCAGATTTTGATAAGTAAGAAGATTTTATAATTTTCTATTTTATTTTAATTTTAAAGATTTTTTATTTTCTAATCAAATTATTATTTTTGAATATAAAATACAAATTAAAAATAATAAAAGTTTTTTATTAAACAATCAAGTAAATTTGTTCTCTAAATATTAAATATATATATATATATTATTTAAATAATAATCAAACTGAAAACTTTATTTTTTGAAATACAATATAATTTGAACTTGGTCAAATTATTTATATTCAACTTAAAATATTTATATGGATTTCTAACATTAATCTCTATATTTTTTATTTAGTTGATTTGAATGATAATTTTACAACATATAACTTTCTTTTTTATTACTAATAAATTAAGATTAAGAGGAACCAGCCTAAAAAGATTAATTATTTTTTTTAATAAACAATAAATTTCAAAATTTAAATGCAAGTAGAAACTAGTATACTACATGCACTTTCAGTTTTTACAATTAATATACACAATATTTTATAATATGAATCACTTTCAAAACCTCTTCTTAATCATCAAAAGGGCTGTTAAACGGATCATTTTTTAACCATTGTCCAGTGCGATGATTTCTTTCCAGCAGTTTTGGAAACTGCTGATCATTATTATTAAGCTTGTATTCGGATGATGAATCTGGTCTTTCGTCTTCATTAATATTTACGTCCGTAAAAGCTGAAGTTTTGTTGCTCAAAATCGGTTTTGGTTTTAATGGAGGAGGCAGTCTATTGTTGTCATTTTCATTACTCAATAAATCTATTGGTAATACTTTGATTGGTTTCGGAGGTAGAAATGGTTTAATCGCTGATTTCTCTTCTTTTAGTTTTGCTTTTGATATTATCTTTTGTTGTTCAAGATGAATGTGTTTTGTTGTTGGTTGAGTAGACTTGGTGACCGAGTATGATGATTTAAAGTTGAAATCAGGTCTATTAATGTGTGATTGTACGCGTGATATTCTATTTTCTGGTTGTTGTTGTCCCTCAATAGCAGCACTAATACGATTACGATTCAAAGATATCATAGAGATTCGAGGGTCGGATGATTTTTTCGTTTTTCGTGGTAAACTTAATAGGTTTATGTCATCAATTTCTTTTGATTTATAATTGTTGTTGTCGGAAGAATTATTCGAATCATCTTTTTTCTCGCGTATTATAAACCATAAAACACGAATCAAACCCATGAGCAAGACAACCCCCCAGGAAGCTATCAATATCCAAAAAAGCGGAAGTTCGGCACGTAGAATATTTTCGTATTTGTCGAATAATTTGCCAATTTCTCCACCGGTAGAATCATCATTTTTTGATCCAATCAATTTATCGGTCGCTTGATTAACAACCTCTTGCATGTTAGAAGGACTAACCATCAAGATTGTGTCATTCACTCGCGGTAATCCAATGAATGCATTGTCTTTAATGAAAGTCAAGGCATTTTGAATTCCACGAATTTTAACCAAAACCAAGCAATTGACTAACTGTTGTGCGACTGTCAGCAGTACAGGAGCTCCATTGAAAGTATTTGTGATAAAAGATGTCAAATCATCAACTGCAACATTAAGTGTTGAATTTAACGTAGTCGTAGTGGTATTCACCCAACCCAACAAATCTCGGTTAAGATCATTTTCTACACCAGAAATCGCCTTATTACTATCATTCGAATAAGCTTTTGAAATTGAACCAAGTTCAGAATTCATTAAACTCATCACAGCATTACCGAATGTATTAAAGGTTTCCTCAAGCGGTTTCCGATAGTGATTGCGCACGCCGTCAAGTAATGCAATTTGAAGATAGACGCCCAAGACTCCAATTACCCCAATCAATAGACATACAATTACTGTCGGTTGTGATATGTAATCCCAGAACCAACGATACAAATTCTGATGATTTTTATTTTTAAAGAATTTCGAAGTTTTAATAAACCAACGAGATAACAAAGGATGTTCGGCGATCTTTATCAATTCGATAGTGGAATGACGAGTGGGGGTAACGGTAATTAGACTAATAGTAGCCGTCACGCGGTCTACGTGAATCATGAATCGACGATGCGAAAACCAAATATAAACTGCATTAGCGGCGATAAGCAGCAAGCCAATAATCACCAAAATGATTAATCCAATATGCGCAGCCTTGATAAGATCACGGGCTATATTATCGATGATGGTGAGATCGAGATTATTTGCGCAAAAAGCGACTTGATTGGTTTGTGGAACAGGCAACACCGAGTCATTAAAATTCATATTAGACGTGGAATCTTTTATCAATTTCCGAAGATTATCAAAAGGAACTGATACAAGATCATCAAGTTTTTTATCAATAACATCCATAGTCGGAAGACTAGTATTAAGTTTCTCTAATCCTTGTCCGAGATCCGGAAATTTAAAATTCGACAAATCATTTGTAGCTGGAATTGAGATTGTTGGCAAGTTGACATTAATCTTTGTAAAGGACCCGATACCCTGAATAGCTTTTCGTGCATCGTCAAGATTAGAATTCACCGATGAAACTTGTTTGTCAAGTTCATTTTTTAAATCATTCAATTTTCCATTAGTGAATTGCGTTAAGGTATTGACCGCATCAGTAACTACCGCCATGGAGCCACGAATAGCAAATTCCAATAAGCATCGATAAGTGCCACGAAAATTATCGATTATCCATAGTATTATACCCTCTAACGCCAAAATGGCAAGATCCAATGTTCGCACGGTACTTTTTATCGTAAAATTAATACTTGCAATGGTTGCTCGATTAAATCCACCGGCCATATAGTGTGGTAAAGAAGTCATTGTGGATGTTGCAACTTCTAACGCATCACATGACCTCAATGCAGTTTGTTTAACATCGTCTACAAGTGGATTAATAGAGCTCATAGCTGATAGAAGACGGAAAGCGATAAAAAATAAAGAAATAATTGGATATGCAATCCATGCAGTGGATAGTTTGGCAAGTAAGCCAATATAAGGCTTCACGGTAACATCGTCATAAGGTGTTGTTGAATATTCCTCCGAATTCCTTCCATTTGGTCCTTCTATATAGCCAATCAAAACAATATTTTTAACATAAAAACAAAGAAAAATATGCAAAGGTACTCTCGATATAACGACCATCAAGTAAAATCGCGTTATAAGGAACAAGGTAAGGTCATTATATAAAATATAATATTCGATATAATGAACATTGCTTTGTGCCCGGAGGTGTTCATTCTATCGAGTGTCTTGCAAACAGCACACAGACCAAGAAATACCTGTTAAAATCTCGTTTTGTGCTTTTCCATTGTCAGAATTTAACGAACACATATTGTGCTTTTTATATTATTCGAAGACGCGCCAGGCGACGAATAAACACGAAGGAATGGCGGAGATTTGGAAGGTTTTGATCGACTCTTTCCCCTTGGAAAAGTAAACGGGGAAGTTGACAAGGAAGAATTAATAGTGGGATAAAGGAAGAAGCATGAAAAAACATTATATAAGGAACGGTAGACAAGTAATAAAACGATAACAATACCTTCATTGCTACAAATAGTATATTCTACGTCGCTAAGCATTGTTAACAAATAAGGGAACAAAGACTAAAAATACGCGTGGTAGATTTACTAAACCCGAAAAAGGGACTTTGTGAGATGAAGATCTTGTATTATCTCTGAAACGACTTTTTTTCCTTATTAGGGGGATACTATTTATATACAGTGTGTGTGTAACAGGATAATATAATAGCGAAAAGTATAACGATTTCGATCTCGAAATTTTCTACGAGTTCTTTTTCTTACCGTACTAGCATAAAGACGACGATGCTCAAAATAATAACGGCTAGAAATTCGTCATATGTGAGTGTATATTTTTTAGTCGTTTTGCAAACTATACTTGCTCAGACTAACAACTTTAATATATCTGCTTCAAGTTTCTCGCTCAAAAAGCCACTGTTCCCGCAATTATAAATATAACGCGCCGACTTTATAGCAGCGTTGCAGATGGTATTATATTCAACGAGATCTTTTACATTTTTTATATCTTTCATATTATATATAAGCTGTAGTAACAGCCAGTGCTCACCGTACCATATAATAGACGTAGAGTATGATACAGTTGTGATTGGAGGTGGACCAGGAGGTTATGTTGCTGCTATTAAAGCTGCTCAGCTTGGACTCAAGGTCGGTCTATATTGGAGTTGACGCTTACTCTATCATTTTTTTCTGATTTTCGCTCAATATTTCTTGATAGACGGCTTGCATAGAAAAACGAGGCTCATTAGGCGGGACATGCTTAAATGTCGGATGTATTCCGTCTAAATCATTATTAAATAATTCACATATATATCATCAGGCAAAGCATGAATTTAAAGCAAGAGGGATCGATGGTAGATGTTAATTAAGGAATTCTCGAGACATTCAAGATTATCTTTGTCTTTTTTGAAACTGCTGATATTGAATCTTGATTTTTACGTGTATTTTTAAAGTGAGTGATGTACAATTGAACTTACCCAAAATGATGGAGGCTAAAGACAAAGCAGTGACCGGGCTTACAAAGGGCATTGAAGGGTTATTTAAAAAAAATAAAGTAGACTATTTCAAGGGACATGGCCGGTTTATCGGACTGCATGATATTGAGGTGGACGGATTGGATGGGAATAAGAGTCACGTGAAAGGAAAAAACATAATAATTGCTACTGGTTCAGAACCTACATCGTTTAAAGGATTAGAGGTATCGTTAATTAGTGTTATTTAATTTGAGTTTATAAAATGAAAATGATTTGGGTTGATTTCTTTTGTTCCTGAAAATCGATTTAGGTAGACGAAAAACAAGTTGTCACGTCAACTGGTGCTCTCTCTCTGGAAAAAGTGCCAGACAAGTTGTTGGTCATTGGTGGAGGTATTATTGGTCTTGAGCTTGGGTCAGTGTGGCAGCGTCTTGGAGCTGATGTGTCTGTAGTTGAATATCTTGGAGCTATCGGTGCTGGTATGGATGGTGAATTAGCGTATGTTGAATTATTTTTAATTTATTTCATTTAATTAATTATTAAATGATTTTTTGTTCATCTGATTTTTTATATGGTTGTTATTATTATGGAATTTTTTTGTTAGAAAGCAGTTCTCCAAAATATTACAAAAACAAGGACTCAAATTTAAATTGAATACCAAAGTTTTGGATGCTCAAAAACAAGATGATAAAGTTATAGTGAATGTTGAACCAGCACAAGGAGGCGATAAAGAATCGGTATATGTTATTTTTTTTGGTGTGTGTGTGTGTTTTTTTTTTACTTAATTAACAAAGTTATAATTATTATCAAAGTTGGAAGCGGACGTTGTTCTTGTGTCAATTGGTCGACGTCCTGTCACAGAAGGTCTTGGACTCGAAAATGTTGGCATTGACGTCGACGAACGAGGTCGTGTAAAAATCGACTCGCAATTCCGTACTAATGTCCCACATATTCGTTGTATTGGTGATGTTACATATGGTGTAATGTTGGCACATAAGGCTGAGGAAGAAGGAATTGCCGCTGCCGAGTACATTGCCGGAGGTCACGGTGAAGTCAATTATGGCACAATACCTTCCGTGATCTACACACATCCTGAAGTAGCATGGTGCGGCAAGACAGAAGAAGAAGTGAAGGCATCGGGCACTAAATATCGAGTTGGCACATTCCCATTTCTAGCTAATTCTCGTGCACGTACCAATACCGACACGGAAGGGTTGGTTAAAATGATTTCTGATGCCGAGACGGACCGTATTTTAGGCGTGCATATTATTGGGCCAAACGCTGGCGAAATGATCGCTGAGGCTGTGTTGGCTCTTGAGTATGGAGCCAGTAGCGAAGATATTGCGAGAACTTGTCATGCTCATCCGGTTTGTGTTGTTTGATTTTCTGTCCTTTTAAGCTTTAATTCGTTGGCTTGCTTTAAAATTATATATCCATTTTTTTATTTTTCTAAGACATTGGCTGAAGCTTTCAAAGAAGCTGGTACGTGATTTTTAAATAGTTATGATTTACCTAAGTTATCATACTTTACTAATTTTTGCTAATTTGAATACTTTAAAAATTTTCTTCTGCCAGCAATGGCAACATATGAGAAACCGATTCACTTCTAATAGTATTTTCGGTTGACATAATTTATTTATTTATTGTCAAGCTTTTGAATGCGATATCTATTCTCGAAGAAACAGATTACCCGAAAGAGAATTATCTCATTACAATATTATAAATAATCTTTTTATAATAAAAACAATTAATGAAACTTGATGAGTTAAAAAATCTTTAAAGCTCACAACTATTAATATGGATATATATATATATAAATTAATTAATTTCATGTTGATGATGCTGTTTACGTGTTTTTTTCCTCTTACGTTCTTGTGATCCACCCTCACCGGCATTATCATCATTATCCTAAAGAAGAATTATCATAGTTAATTTACTGTAAACGTGTGGATTAGAACAGAAAGGAGGTTTTATATACTTGTCCATGATCCTCCTTTTGATTCGACTGCTCCCCTATTTCTTCCATATGTTTTCTCTTTGTAGTAGCCTAAGCAATTAATTGTTAAATCGCTAAGTTAATTCAATAACGAAACAAATATAATAAAACATCAATAATACCTTTTTGGTTCGCTTTTTAGTGGCACTTGATTCTCCTTCATCATCATGTTTTTGCTGATTGTTATCGATCTGGAGCTTGAAGTCTCGCGCAGTAGCTCGTTTGATGTATTGCATCAACTCTGTCTTTGGATTGATAAAAGATATACATGCATATTTTTGTTAAATTGTTACGAAGACGAATACGTGTATGTATGTATGTATGGATATAATTACTTTAGATTTCTTTGATAATTGAAGTAAATAACGCTCGAACGATTCAATTAGGAAAATTAAACTGGGAATCAATTTTGATTCTCGGATGACTCGTGCCTATTTATTATTTATATGATATAAGTATAATTCAAAAAAAAATTGTTGGCAGGCAAATAAACAAATCAAATAAAAAAAGCAAGTCAAAGCCAGTTCACTCACCATATTCGAATTAGTCGTGCCTTTTCCTTTTTTCACCATACCTTGTCGTCTCATACCAGTACTTTGAAGCGAGAAAGTGAGATGGTTGTACAGAGATTCGGAAAGGTTTGATCCAGCCAACTCAATCACGCCGATAAAGAGTTGATTGATTGGTCCTGCTTCGGATATTTTCTAAATGACAGTAAAGCAGAAATATAGATAATCATAAATTTCAGAATGAATTCAAAAAATGTACAAGAAAAATATTCAAATTCATACATATTTAGTAAGTGCAAGAAGAGCTTTATAGGTTCTTTGCAGACTTTTTATCAAATGTTCCGATGAAGTTTCAGGTAAATCGGTGCGCACAAGATTAATAGAGATATTTATGAGTTTAATCATCATAGTCAATATTTTTGCTTCAATTTTTGTGTGTTCCGATGAAGAGTCGCTCTCCGCGTCTTAAATAAAGGAATATATATTATTATAATAGTCTTGAAAAATCAATAAAAAAATTTTACCTTCAAAACTACACATCGATTTCATTCTTTCAATACACCCTTCTAAATCTTGGTACATTTGCTCCAAGAAAGAGACAATAATACCACATATCGACGCTGCGGTTCGAATATTAACAAAAGAAAACTTTGGCAGTTCTGATTCTTCCTGCTCCTGCTCTTGTTCTTCTGCTTCTGCTTCTGCTTCTTCTTCCTTTTCTTCTTTTTTAGCCTTACTATTAATATCCCCCAGTACCAAGAAAGCATCATGAGACATCTCCGCGACTGATTCGAAATTTGTCATGTTCTTCTCGAGATTGATTAATAAACCAACGGCACTTTTCGTGAGTCCGACATCATCGACATATGTTTCGATACAGAATTCTCGAAGCCAGCTAATCAGTTGTTCTAGGTTCTGTTGCTGTGCTGGTATTGTATCGTCGTCATTTGTGTCTTTTGTGAAATACTTGGATAGAAGAGAAATAATTTCGCAGAGACCTGTCGTTTCCGAGATTAAAGGCGGTGATTGTTTCATCAATGAAGTAACCAGTCGCTATTTAAAATAAAATCATAAACGAGCGTTTAATAACTAAATAAATATCAGAGTAACACACTAGAAAATAATAGCTAATTCCACCTCAAACTCCCTGATATACAGTCCTAACCAGCTATCGAGATCAGTGGGAGTATTCTCCAAAGAAACATTAGAAGGATAAGCGATAGACAAGTATTCCGACAACTTTTCCGGCCAACAATTTGATACTGTTTGCGTCAAGTGATGGAAACTTTCAATGGCAATCGAAAGAATGGATTTACTCTAAACGAAATAAAAATATATAGAATCTTTTTAAGAGATCCGAAAAGTTAGGCGCTAAAACGAAATTAACCTTGGTTTTCTTGTTAACTTTTTCGAGATTTTGATTACTGTTGTTGTTGAGGTTGTTGATGAATTCGTTCATAAATACTTGAGCCAACGAAGTGCAATACGAAAACATCGAAGAATTGTGAGGTTCGTTATTTATCGGTATCTGGAAAAAATATAAATATTAAATTTGGTAAAGAATTCCAAAAGAGCTATGTCAATATAGAAAAACAAAATAACACCTGTTTAATCTTCGCGTACGTTACTGTTGTAATATACTTTACAAACTCGGGATCACTACGTAATATGGTTTTCGCAGTGTTGGATTCATTTTCCTCACAATCGCAAAACGTAAATTTACATATTTCTCCAATAAAACGAAAACTGAGGATGGAATTGTCGCCGATGTTGATAGTCGATTTGCGACCTATTAAATAATAAATTCACAGATTCATTCAAATTCGTCAATTCTCAAATTTAATATTGCGCGTAGTTGATATTATTATTATTAACCTTTAGGATTTGACGTTGTTTTTTCTTTTACTAAATCAGTGTATTTCTGGAATATTTTCAAGATAGTTGATGAAGATTCAGATGAATGAGGCTTCGAGAAGAAGACGTACTCAATCAAAGCCTATTTTATTTTGAATGCATAAATAAATATATTAAATACAGTACTCGAATTTTAATCTTATAAAAATTCCGTGTATTAATAAACAAGAAAAATACCTCAAAACATCCGATCAATAACGAACAAGCGATATTACTACGTGCTCCTTCTGCCGCTGGATCCACGTGATAATTAATCACATCATCTGAACAGATACGTTCAATAAGTAACGAAAGATCGTTTTTGAATTTAAGCATATGATTCGCCTCAACGGACATTCCATCTTTTATTAATTAGAATACATAAGTAAATCAATAAAGTCGATTTATAGTTTCTTCATATATTCATTCATGATAACTGACCATCATTGCAGTTTCTTGAAAATATTGTGACTGATCTACTTATGCATTGAATTAAATTCCCCAATGGTTCAACCGCACAGAGTTCCCCCGCAACATTTTCGATACATAAATCGAGACGGAGGTTCGGATGGAGACTTGTCTCCATTTCAATGTATCGTTGAAACTATTAATAATGTTAATTAGTAAAATAATAACAAGAATGTAAGAATTACAGGATAATTGTTAATTTAATCTACCTGCGTGTACAATATCTCAAAAATATCAGGATTTAAATTCTCCGATACATCCATCACTCTCATTAAACCATCATACAGTACAAGCCGAATATCAGCCTGTTGATGAAATATTCTTCTCAAGATCCCTATTATTCAAAAGTTGGTACATAAAACACGATAAATCAAGCAAAATTGAAAATACAAATGCATTTATTGTATGAATTCGATCTTACCTAGAATTTCGAGTTTCAGAGCTTTAGATTCTTGTACTTGCATAGAATCAGACGTCAAGTCGTCCGAGAGGATCACTGAATCATCATTCTCTTCTTGAGTAGAAATCATTAACATTTGAATGAATCCTTTCAGTGCTATTTGCCGTCCTTCAATATTTCTATATTTTGTATAAATAACATATATAATTATGGGTTACGAATTTATTTTTGAGCTTTGAAATCTTACTTTGCAAACATGCTCTTTCGCAACACTAGCATCAATCCATCACGAAAAGATTGGTCAAGCAAGATAATGGGTTGAACTGCTTTTAGCAAAAGATCAGCAGTATCAACTGATAGATACGACAAATAATCAAAAGCTTCTTTGATCTTAATAATAATTTAATAGAAAAGTATTAATAATAACAAAAATACGTGCGCTCATAAACTCTGTAGAAGTTTTTATGAAATATACTTTTGACAAGTAGTCCATCAAAGCATCTGGTGCCTCTTTGACAATAATTTCTAATAGCACAAGAAAATTACCGATACTAGATGATTTTGAAACAACTCTTGATAGAATTTGGTTAAGAATTTCGGTTCGAATCATGTCATGAATCTATTTGCAATGAATTGTCAGTATTAATATCAATTTGTGATTTAAGATATGCCTCAGCATTCAAAACTTACTTTGAACATTTCCAATAAAATTTGAATGGCCAACTCTGTCATCAAGTCATTAGCTGTCATATGTGATCCTGCTTTCCGTCCTTTTCAGTTTTTAATTAATATAATTTTTTAATTAAATTAACAGTATAATGGATTTCGTCCACAAATCAATTTTAAGAAAAACATACCACCTATTTTTCCGCTAGATAGCGGAGACACAGCCGCATCCAACAACACAAATGCGAGTTGCGCCAAACATTGAGTAACTTGATCCCACCCAAAAGACGTTTTGCGAATTATGTGTTGAAAGATATTAGATAATGAAACTCCATCATGACTAGGAAAAAGTTCTAAAAAAAATAAATGTAAAGATGAACAATTAATTCTATTGATTCTGAGTTATATGACGCACAAAAAAATAAGTAAAATTAAGATTACTTGACATCCATATTTTGTTTTCGAGCTTTTCTCGATCTTTGAAATGATTTTTTATCATGTTTTTCAGGAGATCAAGAACCTAGAATATCGTTTTTAAACATCAATTGCGCTAATTTCTTAAAGAAAAAGAATTTTTTTATTTTTGTTTACCGTATCTTCGAATCGATGTATTCTTGCAATGGATAAGAGACATGCGATATTGAATGGTGTCAGATACATAGTTTTGCCTGATTTGACGTACTTAATGTATTCGGCGCCTAATTCCTACATGAATTGGAAGAAAGAAAGAAAGAATGATATAGACATTATATTTATTATTCTTTCAGAAAAGATAAGGATTACCTGGTCTTGTTTAACAGCAAAAGTAATGTGAATGATAACAGTTCCTTCGATGAGGCTGAGATTCATGAAAGAGGATAAAGAAGAGACTTCTGGTTCTTTTTCTCTATATATAAAAAAGAGAATAAGCAAATTGTATCAATTATAAAGATATATACACATGTATAATCGAAAAATTGATTTTTTACTTTTGCTCAGATCCTTTAATTTCCTCGAAAATTTGATCTAATTTATTAAAATACTCGGCAATTCCGTTGATAACAACTCGTTTATGACCCTGGAAATTCACAAATTCATCTAACGCTTATATATATATATTCAATATATTCATAAACTTAATGTTTTATGACAAACCTTTCGGGATATCAGTAGTAATTGGTAAATTATGGGTGGTATTTCATCTAATTCTATTGAATCAATATTTCTGCGTGATGACAACCAAATTAACACGTAAATTATAGAATGCAAAATATCATAATAAAAAATATTCCAATGAATCAAAAAAGTACCTTAACAACTTATCTACAACCAATTCCACCTACACATTCAATCACAAAAAAACCAATGGCAAAAATTCACCATCAAAAAAATATCAAATCAAAACACAACTTAAAAAAAATTGAGAAGCAATTCAAATCACCTGTTCATCAATCAACGAAATATCCTGCAACATAGTAACAATACTTAGAATGGTATCTTTATTCCATTCCAGCCGCAATATCCGCATCAACAAGTAATCTTTGTACTCGGGTCCAGTGAACTCTCTGACATTGTCTATCGACTCTTTTATGGTGACGATACCACATGATTCGTAAAGCGCGAGTATTGGTGGAATGAACGAAAAGAATTTTCCGTATAATGGCGTTTTTCGATGCAAGGTTGCAAAGATCAGGTTTGTTGTGTCGATCAGCGCTTTTTCGGAGAGATTGTTAATCTGTTTTTATTTTTAATTTTTGTCAGATAGAATTAACATTTTCATTAGAAAATACAAAACTTGATTGTCAAAGAAGTTACCTCATTGATACATTGATTTATTATATCTGTGACTCCTTTGTCAAATGCACAAGAAGTATCATTTCCTTTTGTGCTTATCCTATTAGCAAAAAACACAAAAATTTAAAAAATACGAAATCGTGGGTATTTAATTACTAAAATAATGATACCATTTAATGACAGCAGACAAAATAGCCGCTCTTTGCTCCGCTCCTCTTTCAGTATCAGGTGACAACACTAAAATAAGTCAAAATTCGTAAAATATAAATGATATTCGTTATACTGCGCCACATAAATAAGAAGACGCGTCGCGACGCGTAAAAATAAAAATTATATATTTACACTTAAAAATAGCCCGTAAGAATCCATAAGATCCTTTCCCGTCTTCAGTATGAAATTTTTCCTCTTTCAACAGCTTTTCGAGTAATGTTATTGTCTATTCAAGTAGAGAGTAATAAATAATAGACCGTTTCGCCATATTCGTCAAAAAAAGAACCACCAACCTCTGAAGTTTGACAATTCTCTAACGTCTGCTGAAATAATTGAGAGTCGTGAAAGAACGCGTATTCCAAGTCTTTTGTTGAATCCTCCATTGATGTAGATACACTTTAAGAAAATGCAGAAAAACTATGAATCTGTAACCTTTAAATCTATACGTAAAATTCAACGTAGATTCTATTATATACGAATTATGTTGGATTTACACGTTCAGTTGATTTATTTGAATAAGACTTCTTAAATAATCGATCCGGAACAAAATGAAAGAGACATTACGCGATTTCTCTAAATTTGTTAATTAGATGAACGTTTCTCTTATTGCCATATATCGTTTTTGGTCTATAACACATGCACGAAAAAAGAAACAACTCTTTAAAGAATATTATACATGAAATTAAGAAAAAAAATGCATTCTACAAAATCCAGGTAGTAAGTTCCTCAGGAATATTAGCGTTAGTTATTTTGACTGAAATAATGTGAATCAATATATTAAAGATCAAATGGTGATTAAAATTTATTTTAAGAATTCAAAAATTCGACCAAATCGAATTCATTTCTGCCATCAACTTTTTCAACAACTCCTTTTTCAGTCACAATCGCAGTAATCAATGCCGCGGGTGTCACATCAAAAGAAGGGTTCCAGACATGAACTTTTTCGGGGGCAGTTTTAACTTTAATCACTTCACCAGATAGATCATTAACACCACCAACAAATATAACTTCTTCTTGTGCTCTTTCTTCAATGACAATGTCTTTTCCACTTTTTATATTAAGATCAATGCTACTGGAAGGTGCAGCTACGATAAACATTATTCCGTAATATTTTGCTGTAATCGCTAATTGAAAAGTTCCAATTTTGTTTGCCGTATCACCATTGCTTGCTACTCTATCGGCTCCTACTATAATTGCTACTAGATTATTATTGTCAGTGGTGGTGGTGATGGTGGTAGTCTGAGAAAGTAGTGCGGCAGCCATGGAATCACAAATTAACGTGCTAGGAATTTCGTCATGTAATAATTCATAAGCTGTTAATCTAGATCCTTGATTATATGGTCGAGTTTCTGTGCAATATGCATGTGAGAGTTGCTGTCTCGAGTGTAATGAACGTATGATACCTAAAGCGGTGCCATAACCGCCAGTCGCCAATGAACTATTTACGTTTTATTATAGATTCATATATAAATATAAATTGGTAATCATAAATAAATATCAAAATAATTACCCCGTGTTACAATGCGTCAAAACTTGAACTTTTCTATCCTTTTGCCGTTCTTTCGAATGATTTATAATATATTCAGCACCAAAATCACCCAAACTTTTATTATTTCGTATATCCTCGATAAGCAATTGCTCGGCTGCTTCAACTACCCCATCAATTATTTCATTTGGATTTTTGGTGATCGTTGATAATCTATTTGTAATTTCCCATATATCGTCAGATACGCGAAACAAATTTACGGCAGTTGGTCGTGAAGTTTTTAAATAGTTTAGAGAATCGAAAATAAACTTTACAACGGATTCTACATCTTCAAAAATATGATTATTTGTATTTTCTTTTGAATTATTGTCATTAGTGTTATTAGTATTATTATTACTATTACTATTAATGTCAGGACGACGACGTTGTAGATCTACGGCCAAAGATAAAGCAGCGACAATAGCTATAGCAGGTGCACCGCGCACTTTCATTTGTTTTATCGCTGAATAACCATCTTGAACTGTGTACGCGGCTTCATATAATGTTTGATGTGGAAGCAAAATTTGATTAAGAATTTCTAATTTCAGCGGGTTTCGCGAATAACGGATACTTTCTAAAGTTGCTGCCATAACGAAAAAAAAATTTTTGCAAATAAAAATGGATTCTACCAATCAAATTTAATAAAAGAAACCCATAATTTCATCGATCTGTCATCCTGACGTATATATAATCCAAATTCATTATAGAGAAATCGTGTTGATAAGAAAGGAGAGATAGTTGGCAATCCCCTCGATAAGGACGGAATTGGGATTTATCCCTCATCAACACATCTTGTGTTTAAGGCATTTGTCGATCCTATCAGGATGCGACGTCTTAACAATTTTTTATTGATCGATTCAAAATTAACTTATTTGGCCCTTTTTGCTCAGGGCAATTAATAATAATGACTTCCATTCAAGAGTTGCAAACGCTCATATTGACTACTCTCGACGCACAAGACTCAATACCTGATACCACAGAGCTTCGTGAAGAAAATGGAGAAAGTATAGACTTCTTAAAGGTCTTGGGTGCTTTAAACAGTTTATTGGACAAAGAGGTATTACTTTAGAATTAATTATACAGTGAAATTCCCAGTTAATATAAGCGCAATTATCTTTTTGGACATATATATAGATGGTTAAATATGATACCATTGAAAGTGAATTTTGGACATTAACGGCAGAAGGCACCGAAATTGCGGACACAGGAAGTCATGAAGCCAAAGTATTCGAGGCTATTCCAGTTGGTGACGAAGGAATAACTATTTCAGAATTACAGGTACAAATATTATATAAATATTCTTTTGCTATAGTTTTTACTGAAGTATTTTTCCTTCGATAGAATTTACTTGGAGAAGCCGCAAAAATTGGTCAAGGCAAGGCGTTCAAAAATAAGTGGATAGCAAAAAATGGAAATAAACTTTTACGTACAGTGCGTACTATTCATTTGGCATTTCATATTTACGATTTTCTTTTCTGTATATATGTAAATGACATTTTACATTTATTCAGGTTGATTCGATCATAGATCAAACTCGATTGGATCTTGAGAAAATCCGATCAATTGGAACGCATTCTGATCCAAAAGTTCTTAATGAACTAAAAAAAAGAAAGCTGTGTGATAAACAGTGGGTAGTAATTCTATTTGAAATTCATTGTCATTCATAATTTCCTCCAATTAGAAATAGCTTATTAATATTTAATTACTTCACTACAATAAATATGCAGTAAAATCACATCATATACTGTCACGAAAGGACCGAACTTTTCATTAAAAGTTGAAAAGCAAGCTACCGATGTGACTTTTGAATTATTGCAGAAGTATATTTTTTTTATTTAGATAGAGTCAATTAAATTTTCTTATTTTTTTATTATTATTATTAAATTTATTAAATATTTTTTTAGTGGTAAATGGAAAGAAACAAATTTCAAACAATATAATTTTAATGCGGTGAGTTTACCTCCAATGGGAGGCCATCTGCATCCATTGATGAAGGTTCGCGAAGAATTCAGAAATATTTTTTTTGAAATGGGGTATGCAAATTAACTTAGTTATACTTGAAATATATAAGGGAAAAATACTAATTTTTAATTTATTATTATTATTAATTAGTTTTGAAGAAATGCCAACTAATCGTTTTGTCGAGTCTTCATTCTGGAATTTCGACACGCTCTTTCAACCTCAACAACACCCTGCACGTGATGCACACGACACTTTTTTCTTAAAAGGTATTCATATCGAGCGAAAATTTGAACTGATCATCATTCTAACAATGACATTATCAAATAGACCCAGCTACAAGCACACGATTTCCTATGGATTATCTTGAACGTGTCAAAAAAGTTCACTCTATAGGAGGCTATGGATCTACTGGTTATGGCTATAACTGGAAAATTGAAGAAGCCCAAAAACTTTTACTACGAACGCACACTACTGCTGTTTCCTCTTCTATGCTTTATAAGCTCGCGCAAGAAAAATCATTCAAACCAGTAAAATATTTTTCGATTGATCGAGTATTCCGAAACGAGACAGTGGATGCCACACATTTGGCTGAATTTCATCAAGTTGAAGGTGTGATTGCAGATAAAGGATTAACATTGGGTGATTTGATCGGGTTTATGAACACCTTTTTTGAGAAAATGGGTGAGTGTTAGTTAATTGAGGATGTTTTTAAAAATGCACTTTATGGCAGAGAAAATTAGTACTTTTTTCCTTAAATATAGGTGTCAAGGATATTCGTTTCAAACCTGCCTTTAATCCATATACTGAGCCAAGCATGGAAATTTTCTCATATCATCCTGGTAACTATTCTCTATTTTTTTTTTACCGGAAACCGAATTTAATTTTTTGAGTCTTACTCGGTAGGTCTTGGTCAATGGGTTGAAATTGGGAATTCCGGAATGTTTCGACCAGAAATGCTGGAACCCATGGGACTCGATCCTGATGTCCGTGTTATTGCATGGGGTCTTAGTTTGGAACGACCTACTATGATCAAATACGGGATTAGTAATATTCGTGAGGTAAAATTTAATCATTCTTTTTAATTTATTTCCTTATTTTTTTATCGGATTAAGCTAATTATTTGATAAAAAATAAGCTCCTCGGTCATAAAGTAAATCTGGAAATGATCGAAAATAATCCAATTTGCCGATTGGATAAAAGAACGGGTAAAGAAGAAAAGAAAGTTACTGAAGAAGCCAAACATCATCCACATGAAGGTGTTATTCATTGATGCACACTTGATTATCGCTATTTATAAAATATTTTATTCGAGAGCCAAATTTAATAACACAGACATTTAATTAAGTAAATAATAAAGTATTATCGGTATTTAAAGGCTCTCAATTAGATTTTTTCTTTATTGCAAAAGAAACTTTGATTCCTTCAAGGAGTCATTCAAACAACGTGACGTGTCTTGTATACAAAATAATCGAATAAGGAAAAATAGATATCCAATTTATTTTCAGTGCCAACTAATTGAAATGAAAGATCATAAATAATATAAAATTATAAATAAAGCTAAATAAAAACTAAATAAAACTAAATTGAAATGATAAAAGGAATTAACATTATATTTGTTCATTAATTTTTTTAAAAGAGCTTAGTTATTAAAATATTTGATTAGTAAAAAACTTTCTTGATTAATAGAGAACTTGATGATTTTCTAAGCTAAAATATATAATCCTTTTATAAATTATTAAATTACCAATAAAATTAATAATAAAATTAATTTTCCAATCAATTTTTGCATTAATATTTAAACTAATTCATTAATATTTGAACAAATATTTAAATCAATATTCAAACAGATTTTTGAACAGAATATTTTGGCCAATAAAATATTATTCAATTAAATAAAAGAATACAATTGTTTAATAAAATTTTGATAATTTGAATAGTAAAATTTGACTTATAAAGTAAAGATATTAATTAGATATTTTCCAGTTAATAAAAAGCTTACTCCTTTTTCTTTTTTCATTTGATTTTTTTGATTAACTAAGAATTTTTAATTACCTAATTTTGAGTTACATCTGATTTTTGTTTAAATTTTCTTTCTCCTTCTCACTTTCTAAAAAATTACTTAATTAATATTTTTATTTTAATATATTAAAAAACTCATTTTTAATTATTTTTTAATAACTATAATATATTATTTTTATATTGTCACTATTTTTACTTGGATTTCAAATATATTATATCTTTTTACATGCTCAATACATGTTTTAAGTCAGATAGGAGAGATAAGATAAATAATTAAAGATAGTGACATTGTTACAAATCAAAATATAGCATTATTATTATTATTATTATTATTAGTATTATTATCATTTATCATTATTATTATTATTATCATCATTATTATAATTTATCTTTTAATAAATATTTTCACATAATCAAATTCACATGACATTTTATTATATATTATAATATTTAGTAACATGTAGTAATATTTAGTAACATGTTGTAATATTTTGTAACATGTTATAATGTTCTGTAACATGTTACAATAAGATATAATATGTTATAAAAAACTGTAATATATATGATAAAATAATTAGTTATATAATAAAGAGTTTTATCTCTCAAATAAAATTATCAATTGATTACTACAAAATCTAGCTAATCAATAAATTATCTCTTGTTTATTGTTAATAAAATATTGTATATTAATTGATTTTAATAAATAAAATTGTGTACTATTGAATATTAATCAAAGTTGCTAAAGAATATCAGTACTATATTGTTTTAGAATTATTTTATATCAAGTAAATATCATAATTTATTGATAATAGTGATAGCTTATTTTAAAAATAAAAAAAAATACACAGCATGATAATTCTGTGATAACTGAAGTCACTGAAATTGAATATAAGAAGAAATTAAGTTGGATATTGATTAAATACTCACATTGTAATAACTCCTACCAGGAGCTTGATCATGATAATAATAATAATATTAATTAATTATAATAATTAATTAAGAATTATATAAAAATGATTGTGTATACTTGAGAAAGTTAAATACCAGATGGTTGGAAGAGGGTATTAAAAAAATAGATTCTAATACTTTCACTAGTTGAACAAGTATTTTATAATTCAAAAATACAAATGATTTATTAAATTACAAAATATGACTTCTACTAGTTGGATAAATTAAAGTTAAGTAAATAATAAATCAAAAATAACAAAAAGTAAAAGATTATTATTTAACTTCTATATTTTTAAATTACTATTAAATTATTTGTAAATTACTTTATTCTATATTAAATTATATTTGTTTAAATATATATAAATATAATACAGATCTACATGTTGAGTGACATTACTTAAAAACAATTATAAGATTAATTTAAAAAAAGTATAATACCAAGAAATGATAAGTGTAATACTGTTATAATATGAATATTTAGTTCTTATTTTATTGGTTAATTCATATCATAAATTTAATTAGATAATATTCTATTATATTTTATTGGTTAATTTTATATTTATATTTTATTGGATAGTTATTTTTAGATAATTATTAT